CTTCTAAGGTATCTTTTAATTTTTTGCATGTTTTTTTGTATGTATTTTTAAAATGTCAAGTTTAAACCATCATGCAGTAGTCATTTTCAGAATAACTTTGTTCAGTCTGATTTCTAATTGGATTATGTTAAAAATTTTGCCGAGCTGATTAGCTGATATATTCCATTTCAAAGATTGTTGAGATATTGTATACCCTGGTACGATCTTGTATGTATATTTTGGGAATTACTACACGTAGGTAGATGCTTTACATTTTTTTCACATTTCCGTTCGTTTTCCATACTTTGAAGATATACATGACTTGGCAAGGGAGGTTGTATGTAGTAAAGAAAAAAACCTCAAAAAACAAAAAACCCCAAACCTTTGTAATGTAATTTACTTGCTTATAATCTCTTCTGCTCTGTTCTCTATGAAAAGATCAAGGGCAAGAATTCAGTTTTCATCTGTATTAAACCACAATTCTTAATTAATTAATTAATAAAATTAATTATCATTTAATTATTCTTTGGTTGTGATCTCTTTCCCAAGATTTAATTATGAACTGATTTAGCTAGAAATATTAAGTTGGAAGACCTTAATGAAAATCCTTATGCTTAATTATGCATACTCTTTCCTCCATCTTATAAAATGCCTTTTCTTATTCATGGTTTTATTTATTTCTTACATTTCACAGTTCTGATCCTTTCCCTTCTCTCTCTCTCTCTCTTTTTCTATTCCTACTACTATCATTTCCATGCCAGGTAGTTAGTATTTCAAGCCAAGTTGTAAAATAGCCCTCAGTTTTGTCTCACTGATTTCAGTCTCCTCTCCTTCCTTCTCATATAACATGTGAATGTCAGTTTGTTTCCTTGATGAATATACCCATTTTGACTTTCTCTTATACAGAAATCTTGACTGGCTTCTCATTGTTTTTTTATTCAGGTTCAGCTTCTGATGTATTCAGCATGTCTCAGTCTTCAGATTTGGCTCCAGTAAATCATTTTTGCTAAATGTGTCTTCTGTGGCTCTGACACTTTCCCATTGCCTACATGTTGCTCACATAATTTCCATCAACTGGAATTTTCCAGCTTCCTGGCTACCTTCAGGAAGCCTGCTGTTAACTTTTCTGTCTTAGTGGGCCATTGCTTTTGGGTGCTCAGAGCATTTATTATCTGTTTACTCAGTTCTATATAATTATATACTTTTTTGTTTTTTTCTATCCTGTGATCTTATTTTAAAGTTCTATTGACTATAAGGTTATTTAACTGCATTAGGACAAAAGCCCTGTTCTCTAATCCCTGACCCCTTTGCTCTAGTTATAGGTACATATTAAGGTTTAATGTTGTAGTCAGTTTTCTTGGATCTTGAAGAAATACAGGAAACGGGGTATTTGTAGATGATATGAGGCATTTGGTGATCTAAAGGTTGATCCAGATTTGCCCTAGTTTATTAGATAATATAGGTCTTACCTTAGAACAAAGTTAATTTTCTGGATTGACTCAGTTTTCTAGAATGTGAGGTACAGGAGTAGGCCTTTCATCTATGCAGTGACGCTAAGGAGTATCAATCTGGTTTTTCCACACCTGGCTCTTTTTTTTTTTTGAAGTCTTTTGGAACTTTGTCCCCATGATGTTTATTTTTGTTGTAAGATTTTATATTGTTACATTCCCCCTCCCCATATCTGTGGTTTGGAATCATGTATGGTAATATATTGACATAACAAGATTAGTGATATATATATTTAAAAGCTTTATTCACAGTATTAGAAAAATAAGGCAGTATCTTTCTTTTAGATTTCAAATACATGACTGACTTCATTTTTTAAAATATAAATTCAGCTAGCAGCCAACATATAATACATTATTAGTTTTTGATGTAATGTTCAATGATTCATTAGTTGCATATATGACCCATTGCTCATCATGTGCTCTTCTGATTCTAGGCCTTTATATTCTGTGTGTCTGCTGATAAAAGTTTTTTTTCTTCATGGTCTCTTTTTTATTTTTTTTTTTAAAGATTTTATTTATTTGAGAGAGAGAGAGAGAATTGGGGAGGGGAGAGAAGGGGGAGAGGGAAAGAACCTCAAGCAGGCTCCATGCTCAGTGTGACGTCTGATGTGGGGCCTGATCTCACAATCGTGAGATCGTGACCTGAGCTGAAATCAAGAGCTGTATGCTCAACCAACTGGCCAACCCAGGGACCCCTTCATGATATCTTTTTAAATATATAATTCACATACCATAAAATTCACTCTTTCATAGTATACAGTTCACTGGTTTTTAGTATATTAATAAAGTTCTGCAGCCGTCGCATCATCTACTTTTAGTTCATCTGAATCACCACAAAAGAAAAACAGTACATATTAGCTGTCACTCCCCATTCCCCCTTCTGCAACCCCTGGCAACCGCTAATCTACTTTATGGATTTTCCTTTCTGGAAATTTCTTATAAATTGGATCATCCAGTATGTGATCTTTTGTGACTGACTTCTTTGACTTAGCATTATGTTTTTAAGGTTCATCCATATTTTGCCATGTATCAGTACTTCATTACATTTTATTGCGATTAATACTCCACTGTATAGATATAGCATGTTTTACTTACCCATTCATCAGTTGGTGGGCATTGAGTTGTTTTCAGAAGTGCTGGCATATGAGTATTAAGTAAGCTCTTGTGATTATATGGGTATAAGTTTTGTGTAGATAGTTCATTTCTCTTGTGTATATACCTAGAAATGGAACTGTTGGGTCAAATGGTAACTTTTAAGTTTTTGAGGGGTTTCCAGATGTTTTCCAAGGTGGCTGTACCATTTTATATTCCCATCAGCAGTGTATAAGGGTTCCAATTTCTTTATGTCCTTGCCAACACATCTGTCTTTATGATTCTTTTTGATGTTATTGTAAGTGGAATTGTGGGTGTGAAGAAGTAGCTTATTGTGGTTTTGATTTGCCTTTCCTTTATGAGTAATGATGTTGAGCATCTTTTCATGTGATTATCGGCCATTTATTTATCTTCTTTGGAGAACTGTTCATTCATATTCTTTATCCATTTTAAAATTGTGTTTTTATTTTAGAGTTGTGGGAAGTTTTTTATATATCCTGGATAAAAATTTCTTGTGAGATAAATTATTACAGTCCCCCACTCCCTTTCTGTGAGTTTTTGTACCTTTTTTATTGTGTGCTTTGAAACTCAAAAGTTTTAATTTTGATGATATCCCATTTATCTAGTTTTTTCTTTGTTTTTGTTTTGTGCTTTTGTGTCATATCTAGGAAACTGCTTTCTATTCTGAGGTCATGAATATTTGCCCTAATTTTTTTTGAATGGTTTTATAGTTTTAACTCTTACATTTAGGTCTTTGATCACCTTGGAGTTAATTTTTGTATAGGGTGTGAGATAGAACCCAACTTTATTTTCTTGGATTGAATATCCAGTTGTCCCAGCTCCCCTCAGAGAAAAGACTATCCTTTGTTTATTGAATTGTTCTGGCATAGTTGTTGAATTGACCATAAATGTAACGCTTCTATCTGGGCACTCAATTCTGTGGAATTGATTGAATTCTATTGCATCGATATATAAGTCTGTCCTTAGCTATATCACACTATCTTTTTTTTAAAAATTTTATTTATTTATTTGACAGAGATCACAAGTAGGCAGAAAAGCAGGCAGGGGTGGGGTGGGGAAGCAGGCTCCCTGCTGAGCAGAGAGTCCAGTGTGGAGCTCCATCCCAGGACCCTGAGATCATAACCTGAGCTGAAGGCAGAGGCTTAACCCACTGAGCCACCCGGGTGCCCCTATGTCACATTGTCTTGATTACTGTAGTTGTAAGTTATAAAACCTAGAAGTGTGAGCCTCTGATTTCGTTTTTCTTTTGTAGATTACTTTGGTGATTCTGAGTCCCTTGCATTTCCTTATGAATTTTAGGGTTAGTTTGTCAATTTCTGCAAAAAAGGTAGCTAGGATTTGATACAGGATTTGAAGCTGTTGAACTTTGGAGAGTATTGCTATCTTAAAGATATTAAGCCTTTTGATCTATGTACATGGCTGTCCTTATATTTATTTAGGTCTTCTTTAATTTTTTCTTAACATGTTTTATAGTTTCAGCGTATATAAGTCTTCTATGTCTTTTGTTGAATTTATTCCTAAGTATTTTATTCTTTTTGATTTTATTGTAAGTGGAATTGTTTTCTGAATTTCATCTTCGCATTGTTCATTGCTAATGTGTAGATGTAACAATTGATTTTTGTATATTGATCTTATATTTTGAAACCCTGTTGAACTAGTTTATTTATCAGTCCTAATAGTTTTTTAGTGGTACCCTTAGGACGTTTCATATACAAGATTATGTCATCTTCTATTAAGAGATAATTTTACTTTTTCTTTTCCAACCTAGATGCTCATTATTTCTTTTTCTTGCCTAATTGTTTTGTCCAGAATATCCATTATAATGTTGAAGAGAGTGAACATTGCTGTATTATCCCTGATCTTAAGGGAAAGCATTCAGTTTTTCACCATTAATTATGATGTTTGCTCTGGACTTTTTCTAGATGTCCTTTAGCATCTTAAGGAAGTTCCCTTCTATTTCTAGTTTGTTGAGTGCTTTTCTTATGAAAGGGTGTTGGATTTTGTATTTACTGGTATGGTCCTGTATTTTCTCTTTAGTTTATTTTCTTTATTTTCTTCTTTATTAACATGTGTACCACATTAAGTTTCACATATTAAAACCAAACTTGCTTCCCTAGTATCCCTCTTGTTTATGGTGTATAGGACTTTCATATTTTGCTGCATTTGGTTTGCTAGCATTTCCTTGAGGATGTTTGTGTTTATATTCTCAAGATATATTAGCCTGTAGTTTTCTTTCCTCATGATATCTTTGTCTTGTTTGGGAATCAGGCTAGTACTGGTATCATGCAAGGAGTTGGGAAGTGTTCTTTCCCTTTCTAGTTTTTGGAATAGTTTATAAAGGATTGACATTAAATCTTCTTTAAGACTAACGGTATTTTAATTTTTGTTTTTATTTCTTAGGATTCTCCTTTTACAAATGCAGGAATGGGATCTAATCTAAATCTCTTGGGTGAAATTGAGTGTGATGCCAGCATAATGGATGGAAAATCCTTAAATTTTGGAGCTGTTGGAGCACTGAGTGGTATGTGGACTTTATAACACATTATCTCTGTTCTCTTAAAAATTATGAATATTACTATATGATGTCTCCTAAAGATTTAGTCAATCTAGTGTTTTCTACCATTCTTGCTTAGAATAGTGTTGAAAACATCGTTTCCTTTTATTGGATGTAAAACATGAAATCTTGAAAGTTTTAAAACATGCAAAGTTTTAAAGAAAATAGTAAAAAGCTTATGTTAGGTCTTTGTTAGAATTTGATAATTATTCTCCATCTCCTTGGGATTACAGACATTTAACCTGTGAGTTAGTATATTCCATTAATTTTGTGATTATTTGAAATACACACATAATATTTTTTTTGTTAGAAAATTTAAATGATGTAAATAAAATTTCCCCTTGCCCTTCCAGATCTTTCCTTCTTATCCCTTTCTCCATGGAGAGGTTTAACCAGTAAAAAAAATTGCATTTACCTATATTTTTATGTAATAGAAATAGTTTCACACATGTGGTTTTTAAAAAAAATATATGTACATATTCTTATGAAACTTTCTTTTTTCTTTGCATAGGATGTTTCAGAGATTTACCCCACATCAGTACATATAAGATATATCTAATATTTTATAATTCTTTTATTAAAGCAAATATACATGAAATGCACAGATTTTAATTATAAAGCTGCATGAATTTTTAATTGTATACAGCTATATAAACCATTATCCAGGGCAAGATATGAAATATTTCCATGTCAAAATACAGAACATTTTCAGGGTGCCTGGGTGGCCTTGGTTGAGCATCAGGCTCTTGCTTTCAGCTCAGGTCCTGATCTCAGGGTTCTAGGATCTAGCCCTGCGTTGGGCTTCCTGCTCTGCACTCAGCCGGAAGTCTGCTTGTTCTTCTCCCTCCCCTGCTGTGTGTGCTCACTTTCTCGAAAATAAATAAGTAAAAATCTTAAAAAAAAAAAAAAAAAGAACATTTCCATAATCCCAGGAGGGTTTTCTATGCTCTTCCTAGTCCATACCTCCTATACTCTGCTCCTGCCTTACCCCCTCCTCCTGTTCTCCCTTAATTTCAACTGTAGGTACCATAGAATAATTTGCTTGTTCTTGAAATTTATATGAGTAGAATCATACACCTCTGTGTCCTTTTTTTTCTTAACACTATGCCTGTGAGATTGACCCATTTTTCTGTCACAGTAATTTTTTTCTTTTTATTACTTAGTAGTATTTTATTGCATGAATATATAATAAATTATTCTCCTTTTCGTAGGTATTTGAATAGTTTCTAGTTTTTGACTGCTCCAATGAATATTCTTGTACATGTCTTTTGGTACACATATGTTCTTAATTCTCTTGGTTATAAACCTAAGATTTGGAATGATAAGTTTACCATTAAGATCCTATCCTTGGGCGACTGGGTTGCTCAGTGGGTTAAGCCTCTGCCTTCGGCTCAGGTCATGATCTCAGGGTCCTGGGATTGAGCCCCACATCCAGGTGCTCTGCTCAGCAGGGAGTCTGCTTTCCCCCTCTCTCTCTGCCTGCCTCTCTGCCTACTTGTGATCTCTCTCTCTCTGTCAAATAAATAAATAAAATCTTAAAAAAAAAGTCCTATCCTTAAGATCAGGGATAATATAGCAATGTTCACTCTCATAACTTCTATTCAACATTATACTGGATGATAAGTTTAGGTACATAATGTGCTTTGCTTTAGTTGATACTGCTGGACAGTTTTCCTAAGTAGTTATAATATATACTTCCATTCTGCACTGTATGAGCATTTTAGTTATTCTGCATGAGGGCCAGCATTTGGCATTGCTATTCTTTTTAAAATGCATCCATTTTGGGGTGGCCTGGGTGGCCCAGTTGGTTAAGTGTCTGCCTTTGGCTCAGGTCATGATCCCAGGGTCCTGGCATCAGACCATATGTTGGGCTCCCTGCTTGGTGGGGTGCCTAATTCTCCCTCTCCCTCTGCCTGCTGCTCCCTCTGCTTGTGCTCTCTCTCTCTCATTCATTTATTAATGAATAAAATCTTTCAAAAAATAAAATTCATCAATTTTGGTATCTGTGCAGTGGCATTAATTTTTTAAAATATTTTACTTATTTATTTGACAGAGAGAGAGAGAGAGAGAGATCACAAGCAGGTAGAGAGACAGAGAGAGGGGGAAGCAGGCTTTCTGCTGAGCAGAGAGCCCAATGTGGGGCTCGATCCCAGGACCCTGGGATCATGACCCGAGCCGAAGACAGAGGCTTTAACCCACTGAGCCACCCAGGTGCCCCAGCATTAATTGTTTTAATTTGAGTTTCTGTGGTGACTAATGACACTGAGAACCTTATGACATACTTATTAGCCATTTAGGTATTCTTGTTATGCAGTGTATGTTCAAAAGTCTTTTGCATATTTTTTATTGGATTATCTTTTTTCTTGATTTGTTTAAATACTTTATATATTTGAATGCAGATCATTTGTCAGATACCTGTATTATGTATATCTCCTCCTAGTCTGTGGATCACGTTTTCATTCTTTTAATGCTGTCTTCTGATGAACTGAAGTTTTTAATTCTAATGTGGTTTAGATTACCAACCTTTTACTTTATGGTTATTTAAAAAATATTTTATTTAAGAAATCTTTGCCTACCCAAAGTTATGAAGATTGTCTCCATTGTTTAATAGTTCTGGTGTTTTTTTTTTTTTTTTTTTTTTTTTTTAAGTGAGGTTTACACCCACTCTGGGGCTTGAACTCATGACCCAGAGATCAGGAGTCACATGCTCTCCTGACTGAGCTCACCAGGCATCCCTAATAGTTCTTTTATTTTTTACCTTTCACATTTAGCTCTCTTATCAAGCCCAGATTAATTTTAGTGTATGTGAGATAGGAGCTGACATTAATTTTTTTTCTCTTACGGATATCCACCTGGTTCATTGCCATTGTCAATAGAAAGGACAATGTTCTCTTCACATAACTGTGCTGGTAAATCAGGTGACGGACTATATGTACAATGGCTTGTTTCTGTACCCTCTGTTCTACTCCATTGTTCTACTTATTGCCATACTGTCTTAATTACTATAGCTTTATATTGTTTATGTTTTCTAATATATTTATATTAGTGATATATATGTATCACTTGATACTTGGTTTATGTAAGATTTCTAACTTCCTTTTTTTTTTTCTTTTCTTTTTTTTCCTTTAAGGTTATATTGGCTATTCTAGGTATCTGGCCATTTTCACAAAATTTTTGAGTCAGCTTGTCAATGTCCATAATAAAACCCTGCTGGGATTTTGATTGGTATTGCATTGAGTATATAGAATCATTTGTGGACAATTGATGTCTTTTTTTTTTTTTTTTTAAAGATTTTATTTATTTATTTGTCAGGGACAGAGGGAGAGAGAGTGAGCGAGCAGAGGCAGACAGAGAGGCAGGCAGAGGCAGAGGGAGAAGCAGGCTCCCTGCCGAGCAAGGAGCCCGATGTGGGACTCGATCCCAGGACACTGGGATCATGACCCGAGCCGAAGTCAGCTGCTTAACCAACTGAGCCACCCAGGCGTCCCAGACAATTGATGTCTTAACAGTATTGAATATTCCAGCCCACAAATATAGGATATGTATATTTATATAAATGTTACTCATGTTTTTTCCTCAGCATTGTTTTATGGTTTTCAGTATAAATATTATATATGTCTTTTATTAGATTTATTCTAGATACTTAGTTTTTGATGCTATTATAAAGTATATAAATTTAAAGTGTCAATATCTAATTGTTTTATTGAATTTAGAAATATAATTGAATTTTGTTATTGGGCTTGAATTCACTAGCCTTGATGAATTCACTTATTCTAGCATTTGAAAAAATAGGTTCCCATGGAACTTCTGTATACACAATTATATTACCTATGACTCATGCAGTTTTACTTTGTCCTTTTCAATATTTAAGCTTTTCACTTTTTTCTTACATTATTATACTGGCTGTGACATACAGTACAATGCTGAATGTAAGTGGGGATGGTGTACATCCTTGCTTTGTTCCTGATCTTAGAGGGAGAACATTAAATATTTCACCATTCTGTATACTCTGCTAGCTTTTGGACTCTCATAGATATCCTTTATCAGATTGAGGAAATTTCCTTCTAATGTTAGTTTGCTGATAGTTTTTATTACAAATGGGGATTGATTGAATTATTATAAAATGCTTTTCTGTGTCTGTTGAGGTAAAGAGTTTTTTCCTTTATTTTGTTAAACATGATGAAATTTGTGATTGATTTTTGAATGTTCCTTTTATTGGCATAAAGTCTTCTTGGTCATGTTTGTATCTTTATATTCTGTTGGGTTCAAGTTGCTGATGTTTAAGATTTTTACATCTATGTTCATGTAATAGATTGGGCTTACTTTTCCTTTCTTGGAATATTATTTTCAGGTTTTAGAATCCTGTTATAGATGACCTCACAAAATGAATTGGGATTTTTTTTTCTAGGAAACAGTTTGCATATGATTGGAATGATTTCTTCTGAGAACTCATTAGTTATTCTAAATTAGTGGCATTTTCTTTGTAGGAAGTTTTAAAAAATGGATTCAATTTCTTTAAGAGTTTTAAGATTATAGTTTCCTCTCACGTGAGTTTCAAGAATTTGTCTTTTTCAAATGAGTTGTCAAATTTATTTACCTAAGGACTTTTTAGTTAGCTTTTTTCCCTTGATTTCTAGTTTAATTTCACAGTGGTCAGAGAACATCCTTTATATGATTCTAGTACCTTAAAGCTTTTTGAGACTTGCTTTATGGCCCAGTTTATGGTATGCTTTGTTAAACATTCCATGTGGACTTTTTAAAAGAGTAAGTATTTTGTGGTTGTTGGGTACATGTTCTATATGTGCCAGTTTGGTCAATTTGGTTATTCACTTGTTCCAATCTTCTTTATCCTTTCTGGCTTCTGTGATAGGTAAGAATGAGTCTCTCAATTAGTTTTAATTTTAATTTCTTTCATTATGAAATTTTATTGGTAATGAAATTTCATGTTTAAAGGCCATTAGCTTTTCTCTGTGAACTGTTTCATATCTCTTGTGGCTTGCCTTTTAACTTTACTTATAATGTGCTTTATTATATTAGAATTAAAAATTTTTATTTTCAAACTTATTACTTATTCTTTTGTGCCTTTTGTATTTTGCATTTCTTAAGGTTTCCCTCATAATTATAAGTATATTCACCTATATTATGTTCTCATACACTTATAATTTATTTTTCATTTACTTTTTTAATGCATTGTTTTTTTCTGAAATAACCAACAAATTGTACCTACATAATCTTGAATAATAACAACAATAATAACAATTGTTCTTTGGGTGACTGTTACATACCATGCATTGTTCTCCAGTAGTTCATATATATTCAGTCATTTAATTCTCACAATTACCTTTTGAGGACACTACTTTTATCCCCATTTCATAGATAAGGAAACTGAAATACAGAAGATATTTAGTAATTGGCCCAAGGTTACTTTATCAGTCTGGGTCCAAGTAGGAGACAAATCACATGGTAGATTAAATAGGGAACATTTAATGTACAGAACTGTTAAACAGTGATAGGAGAGTAACTATACAAAGATGGAAAGAGAACTCAAAATGTATTCTAGGGCAGAGGGAGAATACCCAAGTAAGGATAAACTTGGAAGGAGATTTGGACCTTATTGAAGAAGGTGTGGTTGTAGCCCACTGCCTAGCCGAGAAGTTGCTGGGTACACAGGCCACAGTCACTGTGAGACCAAGAACAATCCTGTGGGGCACAGGTGAGCTCAGGCTGGTAGGTGGGCACATGGGGGTGAGGAAACTATGTGAATTGAACCTCTGTTGCACAGGGTAAAGACTGACACCCAACAGCCCTGTCCCCATGGGACACTTCACTCTTTGTGCCTATGAGGCTGAGAATGTTTGTGACTTGATCTGGGCACAGTACTGTTCTTTCTGGGGCTGTCAGCTATGCTGCTGTAGCCTGAATCAGGAGCTGGAGAAAACATGTGGTGGCCAAATGCTGGAGAAAGCTGCACCGTGAAGGCACTTAGCACCAGGGAATACCACGTGGGCCAGATAGTGAAGAAAAACTGAAGCTCTCCAAGCCTGCCTAAGAAGCCACCTGGTCCTCCTACAGTGTGTCTCCAGTGCCCTCTACTGACAAAGCTACCAGTGTGCCAGCTGGCAAAGGAAGCATATTTAAAGGGCCCATATCCATTTTCACAGGTCAGGCAGTGAAGGGAGAATTTGTAGCTGAGAAGCAATAGATAGCAGGTACAGTTATAAAACAGTCTGACTCCCATTACTCTGTGTTCTTTCTACCTCTCATATAGAGTCTGTCTTTTTCTACTCATTTGAAATACTGTCTATGTCGTGTATTAAACATTCAAATGCTTGTGTGGTCTATTCTGAACTTTAGCTTTATTCTGTTCCATTGATGTATTTGTCTGCTTGTGCTCAAACCACACTTTTAAAATTAAGAATAGTTTTTAATAAGAGATGGTATTTTTTTAAAAAAGATTTATTTATTTATTTGACACAGAGTGAGAGAGATCACAAGTAGGCAGAGAGGCAGGCAGAGAGAGAGGGGGAAGCAGGCTCCCTGCTGAGCAGAGAGCCCGATGTGGGACTTGATCCCAGGACCCTGAGATCATGACCTGAGCTGAAGGCAGAGGCTTAACCCGCTGAGCCATCCGGGCGCCCAAGAAATGGTATCTTGAGGGGTGAATACCTCTTCATTTTGACCCCCAATGTTTTCTCTTCCTGATGAATTTAAGAGTCAACTTGTCATACATCATAGAGAACCTTTTGAAGTTTTGATGGAGAATTTGTAGATTTAACTTTATAACTTAATTGACAGTTATCAAAGCCTTTAAATATTAGATCATCATATACAGAGATATATTTTAGGAGCTAGTATATAGATCTGAGCTTTTCCTTTATTCGGTATTTCATATGTTTTTTTGGTGGCATGTTTTTGTTGTTTAGCTAGATAGTTTTGTTTTGAGTCAATATGGTGACCTTAATTTGAGTTTTAATACTCTTTTTATATCCCACTGCTGATTCATTGATTGATGGATATTTTTAATTTTTATTTTGGTACTGATGGTGTCCTGAGAGGCATCCATTAGTTAGTAGTTAAGCGTGTGGTCTCTGGCATTAGCTGCTTCTGTTGAAATCTCAGCACTGTGATCTTGGGCAGGTGACTTAACCCTCTCTGCAGATATTTCCTCAGTATTATGAACCTCAAGGTTCATAAGTATACTTATATGATAGAGTTGAGAAATCAATGAATTAATCTGATATATTTAAGGCTTTGGTATGGGGGTTGGCATATATTAGATACTGAGTTACTGTCACTTTCTTCAGTCATCATCACATTGCCTTATTTGTCATCATTGTCATCATGACTGTTTTTCACACTAATACTGTCCTAGATTCCTCCCAGATAGGCATCCTCTTCTTGCTTTTCTTCACATTCTGTTTTCCCTCCTGGAAACAATCTGAACCATATTTTAGGTTATAGTCTTGTACATACTTGGCTTCTTCTCCCCACTCTTACTTGATTTGTAGGATATTCTCTTTATTCTGTCTCTCTTGTAGGCGAGAGTTAAAATTTTTGGCCATTAATTCCCCCCGTCTGCCCACCATGGTAAACTTGAAGCTGTTTGTAATCATGTTTATTCTTTGGAAGAAATTCAGTTTTTGAAAGTAGATGCCACATTTTCGGTATCTCTATTCTATTCTGAAATCTATTAACAGGGGACCTAATTTAAATATCAATTATTTCAAATTTAGTCTTTGCTGCTGTAGCACATGACAAAACATGAGAATGTGTTTTATATTCTTCTCTCTACTGGATATTCATTTATTTGTTGATTTTATCCATATTATTCATGCTAATTAAGGGTTTTCATTAGTATATATAAAAGAAGAGTTTTCTAAGATATTTAAAAGTTGTTTTATTGAAACATCCACAAAACTTAGTGGGAAACCTGAAGATATTTTTCTGACTTCATTTTCTGCCAATTTTATTTTTATAGGAATCAAGAATCCAGTCTCAGTTGCAAACAGACTCTTGTGTGAAGGGCAGAAGGGCAAGCTCTCGGCTGGCCGCATTCCTCCCTGGTAACTGCTTTGTTCTGCCTGACTTTCCTTGAGTCTGTTGTCTTTGGTGCATGTGGTGTTTGAAGGCTATTTTTATCCACAGAAGGCTGATGTTGGTTACACACCAGCAGTAGCTTGCCTTTGAGAGGAAGACACACTTTGTTCTATAATCTTGGAACATTTTGTACACTTGATAGAGCTTCAGATGCAATAGAATATTACAGATTAAAGCAGGAAAGAGATCAGAGTTAATTTTTGGTTTTGTAGTTGATTACAGAGATGTTTTTGCTCTTCCGAAGTGCACAGTTGGGATCTTTTGTTATGAAACTTTAAAAGTTCAGAGTCCAAACTAATTTTAATTTTGAGATGATCTTAGAATAAAAGTACTTAATTTTTCAGTTCTGGAGAAACACATTGTAATGTTAAGATTAGTAAGATTATGTTTTTCTCCAGCATTAACATACAATTTTCATTAAAAAAACTTTGAACTTTTCAAGTATTTATAAATTTAGAGAGAACATTGTAAAGAGCCCTCATGAACCTGTCATCCAGCTCCAACAATTAACCGCTTTTTCCCTTCATCTATCTTACTCAGTCTCTTTTTCCTATAGTATTTTTTTAATTAAAAAAATTTTTTTAGAGTTTATTTAATTTATTTATTGATTTTACGTAATCTCCACACCCAGTTGGGGCTCAAACTCATGACCCTGAGATCAAGAGTCCCTCCGACTGAGCCAGCCTGGCACCCCTTTCCTATAGTATTTTAAAGGAAATCCTTGACATGATTTTTTTTACCCTTAAATAATTTTGTATGTTTGCAAATTGCCTGTATGTTTGTAAATTGCCTGTATGTTTGCAAAACATGGTCATTATTCAATTAGCATGCCTAATAATAATAACAAATATGCTTCAGTGCCAGTGCATACTCAGTATATGTTCAGCATGCCCATGAGGTGGTTATGTTCCGTGTAGAAAGTTGTCACGACAGTACTATAAGATAATCACTTTGACTGTTACAATTTGAAGTCATAGAAAATAAATTAATATAGTTTTAAAAAGTCTTGAAACCTCTTACCCTAATATACTCAAGTAATTCATTTTAATCATATACTTGTCAGTTGTTTAATTGTGATACTAGAAAGGTTAATTTTAAAAATTTTTGAAGAAATACAATTTTTAATATTTGTGTCTTCAATCAGGAAGGATAAGGAGAAGCAAATCTGAAATTTTGAGATTGTTCATAATGTGTTTGATATCGATAACTTTACTTTTATAACTCTGAAAGTAGGAAAAGTGAATAAGAATTCTTATTTAGACTTTCCTCATAATTTGTGTTAAAGTCATGCTTTTTAACTGTTTTGAAGTCCATTAACCCCAAATTTGCTAAGTTTTGTTTAGAACATACACAGAGTCCTAGTGGATAAGACTTGTTTTTAGGGGAGTAATAGATGTAAAGAGATGACCTCTGGATTTATATTCTCTTCAGTGTTGAATTAAAATGTGACTGTGTTCTTTCACCTGTGTTTGCTATTATACATAAAGCATAATTAACCCTAATTAAACCAATTAGAAGATACATGCCCGGTAGAGAAGAAACAAGGCAGTTTTAGTTGACAAGGAAAATAGCATAAACCTTGTGTAAAGTATTTTAAAGTTTGCCTGCAAATCACCATAATCCCATTCCCCACACCACTTACAGCATTTATCAAGCTGATTCTCAAGTTTATATGGAGGAACAAGTATACAACAATAGTGGACATTTGAAACAGATCAAAGAGTTAGACTCATCTGATAGCTATCCTGATACTTCATAATACTATCATAATTAAAACAGGTTGATTTAGGTATCGGGATCTATATAAAAATATATATAGAAAATATCAGTATTTTATATAGGGATATATAGAAAAAAATCTGTAGGACCAAACTGGAAGTCCAGAAGCGGATCTAGTATAAAATTAAATTTAGTCTATCAAAGTATGATCTTGGGACGCCCGGGTGGCTCAGTTGGTTAAGTGGCTGCCTTTGGCTCAGGTCATGATCCCAGCATCCTGGGATCGAGTCCCGCATCGGGCTCCTTGCTCCGCAGGGAACCTGCTTCTCCCTCTGCCACTCTGTCTGCCTGTGCTCTCTCTCTGACAAATAAATAAATAAATAAAATCTTAAAAAAAAAAAAAAAGAACCGTAAAATATTAGTAAGACAAAGACAACTTAAATTTAAAAAATTGGTAAATGGTACAAATAGGCAATTTATAGAAAGGAAAATATTGATGGTATATAAATACACAAAAAGGGGCCCAACTATAATTAAGGAATTGTGAATTAAAATGATAAGATGATATGTTTATGTTAAAGTAGCAAAATTAATAAAGACTAATGATACCCAGTGTTGAGATTGTGGAGAAACAGTTTCTTTGTTCTACTAGTATTGGGAATGTAGACTGATAAAACCAGTTGAGAGACATTTTGATATTATTTATTAATGTAAAAAATTGAACATGCACATGTTGTGTGCTCCAGCAGTTCTGTCTTGGGATAGAACACCTTCACATGTACATAGGAAGACTTCTACAGCACAAGAAGGTTACAGCAACATTACTTGTGGTGTATAAAACTGTAAACAATCTAAATGTCCATCAATGGCTAAGTGAACTGTTTTCTAGTCATATTATTAAATAATCTGCAGTATTAGAAAAGGGAGAAACATTTATATATAGTAAAATGGATAGATCTCTATATCGTAGAGGAAAAAAATCAAATTACCTTATGATACATTCAGTTTAATTTATGTTTTTAAAAAAAATACAAAATAATGCAATATTTAAAACCAGGAATACTGTTTCCCACCATCCAGGTTGGGAAATAAGACATTATGAAGAGATTTGAAACTGCCTAGATGGAACCTTTTCTAATGGCATTGTTATCCTTCCCATTGTCCACATCCTTACACTTTTTCATGTGTCTCTTGACCATTTGGTTGTCTTCTTTGCAGAAATATCTGTTCATGTCTCTGCCCTTGCTCCTAGGTAACAGTTGTCCTGATTTTAAGCTTCTCTTATTCCCATATATTCCTTTATAGTATTACAACATAGACAGTACTCTAGTTTTTTAAGGCTGTATATAGTATATATTTACACAGGTGTACAAAGAAGGTCTGGAAAGAAGGTTATCAAACTTACTGTGGTTATTTCTGTGAAGGATGAAGGGAACAAGATGAAGCAGTTTTTAAAGGGGACATGTGCAGTATATTTATATTTTACAAAGATAAAATAATGGGAAAAAGTGATGGCCATCTCTCCATTAAAATTATATAGTGGTGGGGCACCTGGGTGGCTCAGTGGGTTAAAGCCTCTGCCTTGGGCTCAGGTCATGATCCCAGGGTCCTGGGATCGAGCCCCGCATCGGGCTCTCTGCTCAGCAGGGAGCCTGCTTCCTCCTCTCTCTCTGCCTGCTTCTCTGCCTACTTGTGATCTCTGTCTGTCAAATAAATAAAATCTTAAAAAAAATTATATAGTGGTGCTAACCTTGTCTGAAACTAGCTGTTTCATTTCCTCATGTACATAGTTCTTCAGCTTTATTCTTTGTTTTCAGGTTGTTTTGACCATTTTAGGCATTTTGCATTTCTATGTGAATTTTAGAATTAGCCTATTTCTAGAAATAGCCTGTTGAAATTTTCATTAGGATTGCAACATATCCATTTAATAAAGTCTCATTTAGCCTCTCTGACCAGTGTTTTATAGTTTTTCAGTGTACAGGTCTTAAATAGCTTTTATCAAACTTATACTTAAGTATTTCATTCTCCCTTTTTTCAAAAAAAGATTTTATTTATTTGAGAGAGACAGCGAGCACATGAGTGTGGGGAGGGGCAGGAGGAAGGGAGAAACAGACTCCCTGCTGAGCCCATGATCAGGAGCCTGATGCAGGATTTGATCTCAGGACCCTGAGATCACGACCTGAGCCAAAACCAAGAGTCAGCTGCTTAACTGAGTGCACCACCCAGGCATCCCAAGTATTTCATTCTTCTTGATAGTATGATAAATTATATGTATATGTGTTAATTTCTGGTTGTTTATTGCCAATCTAGAAATATGATTGATTTTATTACATTGATATTCTTTCCTGGGAATTTGCTAAATTCATTTGTTTTATAGTATCATTTTTATGGATTTGTTAAGATTTTCTACATAGACAATAATGTCTTTTGAGAATAAACATTGTTTTATTTCTTCCTCTCTAATCTGGGCTCCTTTAATTAATTTCCTTTTCTTTATTACAGTGGCTAGGAGCTCCAGTGCAAGGTGGAATAGAAATAGAAAATATGAAAAAAAAAGAAAGTATGAAAAAAAATGTGAGAGTGGGCATTTGTGCCTTGTTTGTGATCTTAGGGTAGAAGCATTTGGTCTTTTACCCTTAAGTATGGTAGTTGCTGAAGGTTTATCATAGATATTCTTTGTTATACTGAGAAAGTCCCCTTCTTATTGTTCTGAGAATTTTTAGTAGGAAAGAGTGTTGTACTTTCTCAAATGCCTTTCTGCATCTAATAAGATGATGTTATAATTTTTGTATTTAGTCAGTCAGCAATTGGTTGATTTTCAACTATTAAAGCAACAATTGCATTCCTTGGATAAATTCTACATGGTCATTATGTCCTTTTGATATATTGTCAGATCCAATTTGCTAAGATTTTGTAAAGAATTTTGTATCTCATATATTATGAGATATATTGGTGTGTAATTCTTGTAATGTCTTTGTTTTGGATTTACTTTGCCTCTTGGATATGAAGGGAAATATACTTTATCAAATTTGGAAAATTTGGTGGCTATTAATTCTTCAGATATTTTTTCTGATTCCTCTTTCTATCCTTCAGGACTCCAATTGCATGTTTATTTGACCTCTTGTACTCCTACAGATCACTAGTAAATTATTTACTTTTTCCATTCATTTTTCTCTTTGTTTCATTTTGAATAATTTCCATTGCTGTTTTCAAGTTTATTATTTTTCTACAATATCTAATCACTTGT